GGTATTTCTCCTGAGTAAATTTCTCCAGACTGTATAGCAACTAAATTTGGATCACTGGGCCTCCCAAATGTTATAAGCTTCCTAATACCATATAACAAATACCTTTCTGCTTGAACCAATTATAGTGAATTTTATTGCCTCCAAATAAGAAACATGACAGAAGAAATCATTGCATTCCATGTTACTTCCTAAGATTTCAAAAGCAAACCCTCTAAACTTCAGTTACTCATGGTTTTAATAATTATTTATATTTTGCCCATACTCCTGAAGTGGATACTTTCACATCACTTATTTTATTTGGGAGACAACCATAGTTGGTAATTGTGGCAGGTAATAGTCTATCTACTTTTCTGTTTTTGAGACAAGGTCTGGCTCAGTTTCCCAGGCTGGAGTGTAGTGGCTCCACCTTGCTTCACTGCAACCTCTGCCTCCTGGGCTCAAGGGAGATTCCACCTCAGCCTCCCAAGTATCTGGGATTATAGTTGCATGCCACCATGCTCAGCAATTTTTCTGCATTTTTTGTAGAGATGGGGTTTCACCATGTTGCCCAGACTGGTCTTGAACTCCTGACCTCAAATGATCCACCCACCTTGGCTTTCTAAAGTGCTGAGCTACCATGCATGGCATATGTACTTTTCATGGTGGAAACTGAGACAAAGAAAGCTTAAGTGCCTCATCCAAAGACATGTAACTTATCTGTTGCACTGCCTAGAATCCCATTCCTTTCCACTATTCCATGTTCTCAGCCTGTTCAGAAACTTAAAAGTCCCATGAAAGTCTTGGGAGCTAATTAGAGCTCTGGAAAGATTTGTAGGAGGGGTGACAGACTCAACATGGTCATTCCTATCGATATGCTTGTCTGTTTAAAATTTGGTTGCATGTTTATTTTAAATTATTTATTTACCTGTTATAATTTTCTGCTTAATGTACAAAACTTGGGAAAAATTTAGAAAATCCTAAAGAAGCAGAAATAATCATCCATTAGTTCACTACCAAGCAATTTTCACTTATAATGAGTGTATATTTATAATATATGTTTCTCATTTATAATGAGAGGTCAGATAGAAATAGAACATTTAAAGAAAATTAGGACATTTTGAACAATAACCACATCTTTAGGTTGATATCAAGGAAGACCATCACATTCTTCCAAAAACATTTCCCAATGCCTTTGTGAGGCATCAATCCTGTAATGACCCCAAGGGTTATTACTGGGCTTTCATCTCTTACCTATTTTCACTAAACTTAAAAATATTTGCCCTCCATGTGCTGGGACTTCAGTTGCAGAGTTTGCTGCTTTAATTGGTTCTAGCTTCCTGTGCTATCTAGTTATCCATGTGCCCACATTTTAGAGGCAGGGACCTAGTGCTGTATCTCTATTGTTCCCTCACCCTATCTTCTAATACAGCTCTTTTTTTTTTAAATAGGGTCTTGCTTTGTCACCCAGGTTGGAGTGCAGTGGTGCAATCACAGCTCACTGCAGCCTTCGCCTCCCAGGCTCAAGCAGATCCTCCCACCTCTGCCTCCTGAGTATCTGGCACTACAAGCACATGCCACCATGTCCACCATGTGTGTGGGAATGTTTTTAAAATTGTAGAGATAGGGTTTTGCCATGTTGCCCAAGCTGGTCTTCAACTCTTGGGGCTCAAGTGAGCCTCCCACCTCAGCCTCCCAAAGTGCTGGGATTACAGGCATGAGCCCCTGCATCTGGCCTCAGCTGTTGATTTAAATGGGTACCCCTGCTTGTCTCCACTCCAAGTGTCCTCCACTCTTGTCCAGGGGTCAGGGGAGGAGATAGATGTGGTGGTTATTCCCAACAGAGGAGAAGATCCCCTAGCCCCACTCAGGGCTGGAATCACAGTTGTCCCTCCAAGCAAACTCCCAGTTACACCTTCATGCTGTTTCTGCCCAGCTTCCTGTCCTCTTGGCCTTCACCTAGCAGTTCTCCATTTCTCATACCACTTACTGAGCTGTTCCTCTCATGACTGACTCTTCTTCGGATCCTTGAAATGCACCTTTATTCCTGTGACAGGTTCTACCCTGTGCTTGTTGTATTCTTGACCCCTGCTTCATTCCTTGCATAATAACAAAGTTCACTCAAAGTTGTCATCCAAGTTTATTTTTTCCATGATCTGGGCCAGGAAAACCAGCATCTCCCAGAGGCTGTGATCTCACTACAGCAACTTCTTCTCTCCTACCCCAATTCTACCCACCTTTGTGGGGGGGTCTTGTCTCCACTGGACTCTCACAATGACCACTCAGGCTCAGACAAACGAGGGCCACCTCCTCCAGTGACTAGCCAGTACCCCTTATTGATGTCTCGTTGTTCTTCTAACACTAATGATTTCAAATGGAGCAGATGAGCAAAGGGCAATTCTGGCTGGGCAGAGCCAGCCCATGGCTACGTGACTTCAGCTAGAGCAAAATGACAGACAACATTGCCTTGAAATGTGACTTTTGGAGATAGAGATAGGACAGCCCCAACTTCCCCAAAATCAAAATTAATGCAATTAGACAACTTGTGGGAACTTCAGGGCATTGACGTTACATGCTGATTGTTACCTCTAAAGTTCCAATCTAAATTCTTAAAATCTTTTAGGACACTTTCATTTGAGCGAATATCTTTTAAACTATATAATGTCTCCAATTGTTAACAAACCCTAAGAAATATTTTTAAAAGTAACTAAAAGCGGATCATATATTTACCTCATGACTTCTTGTATTCAAGAGAAAAGCAAGCACTAGTTCATTGAAGCTACCATTTTCAGGTTTCTCCTACTGATAGATAATAGAATGAGATAACATGGCTATGAATTTTCTGTAGCCAAAGCTGGGAAAGACTTAGAATATTAGCTTTATACTTTCCCAAGCAGATGTGGAGGAATAGAATATTAGAGGAGAACGAGTGAGCCAGGTGGAGGGAAGAGGACCACAGTGAGAGTAGGAATAGATCTCTGAGACAGGCCCTGGCTGCTAAAACTCAGGGAAGGAGATGACAATACAAATGTAGTTGTTTTTCTGTTGCTGCTGAAACAAATTACTACAAACTTCGTGGCTTAAAACAACACAAACGTATTGTCTACAGATCTGGAGGTCAAAAGTCCTACAAAGATGTCACTGGGCTAAAATTAAGGTGTTGGCAGGGCTGCATTCCCTTTTGGATGTTTTAGGAGAGAATTGGTTTCCTGGCATTTATTTGCCAGCTTCTAGAAGCAGCCTGCTTTCCTCAGCTCATGCCCACTTCCCTACGCAAAGGCAGCACTGGCCAGTGGTGTCTTTCTCATACTGTATCGCTTCTCACACTGACTCTTCTGCTTCTTCCACATTTGAGGGCCCTTGTGTTTCTACTGGGCTCACCTGGATAATTTGGGACACTCTTCCTATCTCAAGGTAAGCTGATTAGCAATCTTAATTCCACTGTACTTTAATCCACCCTTGCCATGTGACAACATCATCATAGGTTCTAGAGATAAGGAAGTGGGAGTCTTTGGGTGACCATTATTCTGCCCACTGCAAAGTCCATTCAGGTTTGGAGATACATACCCTGTTTCTTCTCTGGTATCCTGGAAGTTTTGTTAGCCTCTATAAGCTCTCTGTACTGTCCTGGGGAGACAGTAGTCAAGTAGACATGGCAGTGAGGGTGCCGGTGATTCCTGGGCCCCAGGGATGAGCATGGAGGTAGCTGCAAGAGCTAGCAGATCCCACAGGGTCTGACTGGTTAAGAGAGTGAGGCATGAGTGAAAACCACCATGAATCCCATCATGGGACCAGATGAGGATGCGATGCCTTAGAGCACACTGGTGAGGGCCAGGTAAGATTGCTCTCAGCAGTGTTATGAGGGAGCTGCCGATGGCTGAGGAGCCCCACTCCAACACTGCAAAAACCCTCCTGGGAGAAGGAACAACCTCTGAATTGATCCCCAAACATCTAAGTTGGTTCAGAAAACACTGAAGTTACCGTGAAAACTGTGATTTGTCTAAGATTAAGTTTCTGTCACTAGGCTGGATGGGAATTAGAGATAGAAATTAAGTTGTTGTAGAAAAATAATGAAAGTTCATATTTCACACCCCTAATTTTGTGCTGAGCTGCACCTGCTACGTATAAATTGGGACAGCGCTGCTCTATCTGCCTTTCCGACAATGCTATTGGGAGAGACTTCTTTGTTTGCAAGCACTTGGTAAAATGAAAGCTCACTGTAAATCTGTGTTTTCCTCCTTAAGCTCCTTGGGTGAGGTCAATGTTGAAGTCAGACTCTGGAGGGAGAATTATGTGACATTCTGTTGAGGCTGTTACCGTATGGCTATTTTGAAACCATCACATTTTCAGCATTTTTTTTAAGACCAAGTAAAATGTTAAATATAAATCCCCACCCAGCTCTGTGCTTTGCTCAGAGGCATGACTGCAGGGGGCACAGGCTGGGTGGGGGCTGGTGCCCTTCCTGGGTAGGGAGTGGTCACCTCACTGGGGTTGTCCTGAGTCATTATCTTCTGCTCACACTCGCGCTCCCACATGGTGCCCTCTAATGGTTTTTCATCATAAACTTAACAACTATCAAGTCAACCAGTTTGCTCTAAAAATCACTGAAAGGCACCCTTTTGGAAGAAAGTGGTCAGGGGAAGAAATCACCAAGAGCTGTAGAGTTTGAGGCCTGAGGAGACTTAATTGCAATGATTTGGCCTCAGCTTAAGAGTAGCATTGAGAGTGTTCTGAGAAACCACCCCCAAACTGTGATGGTCTTCACTGAATACGGGAGGCCCAGGCCCTAACACTGCAGAGACAAGGCATCAGGCCTCCTGAGGGGCTAACCAGCTTTCTGGCTTCCTCACCATGAGCCAGTATTTCTAGGGCTGATCCCATGTGTCGGGCCCCAGAGCTCTTGGACTTATTACAGAGAAAGTGACTGTGATCAGTGGGTTAGTCAGTATAATTCGAATGCTTAATGTGTACATTTTGTTTTGTATTTGAAGTAAGTGAAAAAATAATCATTATGACATCAGTAATAATATTAACTAATATTTATTGAATGCTTATTGTGTGCTAGGCACCAGGCTAAAGTACTTTACATACATTATCTCGTTTAATCCACATAAGAGCTCTGAGGGAGAAAAATGATTATTATCCTCATTTTAGCGACGAAGAAGCTGGAGCTTAGAGAGGTTAAGGTTCCCTGCCTACAGTCACCCAGCTTGCAAGTGATCAAGCCAGGCTTGAACCATGGTCTGTCTCTCTGGCTCCAGAGCCTGGGTGACAAGCAATATTAATGCCACTGCTGGAGAGAACATAGCTCTGACATTTGGGGATGGTGCCCTTGGAACCATGCTTTCTTACCCTAGTAGCTATTAGCAAGCCGATAACTGGGAGCTTACTCTGCACAGGGACAGGGTGGATATGGCTTCACGAATTCTTAGGGGTAGGGATGGGAGAGACTTCTGGACTCTTGAGACCCTGAAGGGGCTCATATAAGGCTCAGCTTATGGGAGTGAGAATGGTGGTATGGAGAACTAGAGCTCAATAATACTGCCTTATACACACCCGACTGACATTTTTCAGTTTATATTGTCCATGAACTATTATAAAAGAAGCATTTTCCTAAGGATAAAGCTACATATAGGAATGTTAATTACAGATACAGCTCATTGGTTTATGCAATTCCTTCCCAATTTCCTCCCAAATCACCTCAAATTCCTTCCCAACAATTTGAGGTGATTCTTGTGATCCTGGAATCTAAACATGGCATCACTATCATGTCCTGGACAGAATCAGACATGTGGTATAGGAAGGGCACAACCTTTCTGGATGTTACACAATAGCAGCAGCAGGCAGGAGATCAAATAGCATATGGTTTTCATAAATAGGAGGAGATGCATTCTTCTTATGATGTGAACATTTAAAGTTCAGTAGGTTGTCAGGGTATTGAGTAGGACTGGTGACATACTGTCTTTCAGACTTTTAGCTCTGGTGGTGGCAAATGTGATGTCCCATCAGTCTACACACTCTGGAGGGTAGTTTAAAGCCATGGTTTCATCTCTGGGCTGTTGGGTGGGACAGAACAGAGGAAGAAATATTAGATGTGAGTGAACAGAAAATCTGACCATGGAGATCTCAATGTTTTGACAAATGCAACCACAGAAACACAAGGCTCTTTTTTTTTTTCAGTTTTAAAGGGAACATTGGTCAATTCACTGTCATTGAAAATGATGTGACTAAATTCGGGCATTTGATGTGTCTTTTATCCCTTCTTCCTCAGAGGAAAGGAGTCTGGGGTGATTTCTCATCCCTGGGACCCCAAGAAACCTCTCTGCATTCTCCCTAGACCAGCCTTCTCCTTCCATTTTATGAATGCAGTACGTTTTCTGTGACAGTGCTGCCTCCACCACTGATGACAAAGCTCTGTGAACTGGACACTACAAGTGCTGGGGACAACTCTTCAGAGTCCTCCACCTCTGGCCGGTGGTCTCCACCCACAGGCCCTTGCAGACCTGTTTCCTGGACGGTCAGATCTGAGTCTGTTTCCCCACACTGCAGCGGGAGTAATGCCTGGTGTCGGGTCAGCGTATCACTGCTTTTCTGGGCCTCCAGGGAGTTCTGGTGCATTGAATTCCTGTGGGCCATGGCGTTCTTCTGAGGCTCATCAAAGCTCAGTGAGAAGGTCACCGTGCCGCTGCCGAAGATGACCTTCTGCTTGCATCTGGGCTGCTGCTGTGAATGTTGCTGCTGTTGGAGGGTCAGGGGCTGCTGCTGCTGCTCCTCCTGCTGGGTTAGGGCCAGCGGCTGCTGCTGCTTCTGCCTCTCGGGCTGTGGGAATGGGTCTTCACTGTTGCTCTTGCTGCTGATGGAGGAGGAGGGGGTGGATCCAGTGGAGCCCCCAAGGCTGCTGGACCGCTTGCGGGAGACGTTGCTGCGGCGGAGTGTGGCCCGGGCAGCCACCTTGAAAGCGTGAGCCGCGGTGCTGCAACGCACCTCCTCGATGGTGTTGCGGGATGGCTTGAAGAGAATGATGTAGATCTTGTTGAAGAAGATGCATGCCAGCAAGCCAAAGCTGGCTGCCAGGATGGCAATCACCTCCACAGCAGAGACAAACTTGCCATAGGTGCTGGCGTAGGCTGGAATGAAAGAGATCCAGACAATGAAGAAGATGAGCATGCTGAAGGTGATAAACTTGGCTTCGTTGAAGTTCTCTGGCAGCTTCCGGGACTTGAAGGCAAAGAAGAAGCAGATGGCAGCCAGCAGGCAGGTGTAGCCGATCAGGAAGCCCAGTGCCATGAGCGAGCCCTCGTGGCATGTGATGAAGATGATCTCATCCTCCAGCTCGTGGTTGCGGTAGCTTGATGGGGGTGCAGTGTAGAGCCAGATCACACAGATGACGATCTGCATGAAGGTGCAGAGGAAAACCAGTAGGAACTGCAGGTTGAGCCCCCACCACTTGCGGTGGAAGCTGGTGGGGATCTTGGCCTCAAACACCAGGAGGACGCGGTTGGTTTTCACCAGGATGCATGAGATGCAGAGCACGAAGCTGATGCCAAAGGCTGGCTGGCGAAGGCGGCACGTCCAGTCCTGGGGCTCCCCGATGAAGAACAGGGAGCTGGAGAAGCAGCAGAGCAGGGAGAAGAGGAGGAGGTAGGAGAGCTCGCGGTTGGTGGCCTTGACAATGGGCGTGTTGCGGAATTTGATGAACACACCCAGCACAAAGGCTGTTAGGAAAATGCCCAGCACGGCAAAGAGGGTGAGTGCGATCCCAAATGGCTCCGTCCACGACAGAAACTCAATCTCCTTGGCAATGCAGGAGGTGTGGTTCTCATTGGACCAGAAGTCATCTGGGCACTTGTTACAGGCACTGGCATCTGTAAAATGTCCCGGTGAAGAGTGAGTTACTGTAAGGCAAAGACTAAAAAGTATGAGTGCGCATGTGGTGGTGGGAATACGTAGGTTATTGGATGCGCATGTGGCAGTGGGAATACGTAGGTTATTGGATGCGCATGTGGCGGTGGGAATACGTAGGTTATTGGATGCGCATGTGGCGGTGGGAATACGTAGGTTATTGGATGCGCATGTGGCGGTGGGAATACGTAGGTTATTGGATGCGCATGTGGCGGTGGGAATACGTAGGTTATTGGATGCGCATGTGGCGGTGGGAATATGTAGGTTATTGGATGCGCACGTGGCGGTGGGAATACGTAGGTTATTGGATGCGCACGTGGCGGTGGGAATACGTAGGTTATTGGATGCGCATGTGGTGGTGGGAATACGTAGGTTATTGGATGTGCATGTGGTGGTGGGCATACGTAGTTTATTGGATGTGGTCACTACATATTTTCTTCACTTTGATGAAATCATTTTGATTTTTACATTATCAAAAAATATGCTGAAGCCTGACATGTTTAATAACATGGTTAATTTCATGTAACTCTGATGATTCTATTGTCAGTTTGTTTTCCCTTTGCACATGACATGGGTAGGGGACCTTGCTTCCTTTAACACTATGTACTAATGGTTTATAGCAGGGAATGATCGACCTTGCTGGACAGGTGGCTGCCTTGCACACCAGAGGTCTAGCATCAACTCTTCACAGAATGATTCAAGCTCAGCCTGATTTATTTATTTATTTTAATATTATTGTGTACTATTTGAGGTTTATAACATGGTGGTGTGGGATACATATGGGCAGTAAACTGGCTACTCTAGTGAAGCAAATGAACATATCCAACATCTCACATGGAGACTGATTTATTTTGGATATATGGATGGTCTCTGTAGACATGCCAGAGCAGACTTCCTTTTAGATCAAGGCAGAGTATCCCATGCACATGACCTGTGCTTTCCTCACTCCACACCCACAGCTTTTCAATGAGGGAGGCTGCAAACTCATTCAACTGACAACTGTTTACTGAGTCTCTGCTAACTCCTAGGCAGTGTGCAGTTTTGGGCAGTGAAAGGAGCACCGGCTTTGCAGTTAGAGATCTGGATGGAATCCTGGCCACGCTACTGACTAGTGATGTGACTTTGGTCACTTCTTAACCTCTCAGAGCCTCAATTTCCTAATTTGTAAAATGGAAACAGCAACAACCCCATTATTGGGGTGAGGATAAAGTGAGATAATATTATCAACTATAGTTAATATTTATAGAGTACTTCTAACATGCCAAAGTTTTATTTAACAAATATTTATCTGGAATTTACCATATGTATTATCAATATTAATTTGTTTAATTCTTCAAACTCTATAGGATAGGTTTAATTATTATTCCCACCTAAAAATAACCTGAAGCACAGGAAAAACATAAGACAGACAGCAAATTCAGTGCTAGGCACCCAGCAGGCAATCTATCATGGCCTATTAACTCTGCAGCCTAGAGCAGACAGAACTTTGTCCATTCAGGGCCACTAAGCTCTAACAAGAAGGAAACATACTGGCCAGCAGTATAAAGTAAAAGAAAGATGTATAATAGGTGTTGTTAGCTTTTATGGCATTAAAAGAACATTTAACATTCTTTTTCTATTGCACTTCCATGCCCAACATTTTGTGATGCTCAGACATACTCTTGTTAAATGGGAAACTGTGCAAAACACCATCTCAGCCCAGCCCTTCCATGGGCTTCAGAAACCCCAGGCCTCCGAAGTGGTCCAAGCCCTGCACAGTGCACAAGAAGGGTTCTTTTACCTGTCTCGTCGCTGTACTCCCCATCAGGACACTCCACACACTCAAAGCAGCAGGTGGGCTCCCCCTCAATGATCCCTTTCCTGGTCCCGGCCAGGCAGTCTCGACTGCAGTTGGAGAAGGGCACCTGGAGGACCAACAGCACAAAAGTGACTGGCTAGAGCTCTAGGGTCAGGGGCCAGCCCTACAGCCTCTTCAAAACATTTAAGAGGGAGGAGTTGGAGTTGGGGCACAAGAATCAGTGTGGCAGATACTGGGCCCGTTCCAGGCAAAGGGAGGTCCAGAAGTCCTTGGTTCTGATCTCTGTGAAAGGGACAGATGCCTATGGGCAAGTGTGCACAGGCCAACACACACATGTGCATGCACACATACATACACACACACTCATGGGATTCTATGATGATCTGGGAAGAGTACCACTACTTTCTACTACTTGAAAACAGAATGAAAAATCCTAAAACACTAGCCAACAGACTCAAAGGACATAAGAAGGAAAATGCATCATGACTGAGTTGGGTTTATGCCCAGGAATGCAAAAAAATCTAATATTAGAAAAATCTATAAGTATTATTCACTAAATTAACAAATTAATGGAGAAAAACATCATATGATCAATAGATAAAGAAAAAGCATATATTTAACTCGAAAAAGGGTACCAAAAACCTCTTATAGTAAACATCATCTGTATAGAGAAAATATTAAATGCATTTCCCTTTAAAACAAGGATGTCCACTATCACCACTACTCTTTAATTCTGCATTGGAGGGCCTAGTTAGTGGAATCAGATGAGAAAAATAAGTGCATACATTTTGAAAGGGACCAAATAAAACTGTAATTATTTGCAGAAAATATGGTTGCCACAAAGAAAACCCATACATATGCAACAGCATATGTATCTTAAAGGTAGAGAGCACTTCTCACTCATTTTTGTAACCCCAGGTACAAAGCCTGGAGTAACGCTTCATACATAGTGGGGCTCTTACTATGTCCATAATGTCTATTTAATGAGTCTCCCCTCTACCTACTACTTTGTAAGATGTCTTACAAATATGCAAAGCAGTAAAATAACTGTCATTGTTTCTAGCAGAAATGACTGACTTGACAAAGGAGTTTTAGAAAACTTCAATAGAAGATGATTAACATTATCTTTAAGGAATGAGGAATGGAAAGGCAATATTGGACCTGATGTTTGCAAAGACTCTTATGACCCAGGGATAGGAAGGGGCGGGGAAGGAAAAGGACAACTTACATCAGCATCTTCAGATATGGTGACAAGGTATCCCCAGAGATGTGCTCTCGATCCTTCTTGAGTTGCCAACCCATTTGACCACTGAATGAAAACTATGAGCCCTGTTTCCCAAAGCCACACTAGGAATGCTTCTCAATTTTTCCCATTAAAGAATAATGATTGCTTCCTCTCTTCCTATTTGAATATCCTTTATTTCTTTCTCTTGCCCGATTTCCCTGGCCAGAACTACCAATACTATGTTGAATAAAAGTGATGAGACAGGCATCCTTGTCTTGTGGCAGTTTTCAAGGACAATACTTCCAGTTTTTGCCTATTCAGTATGATACTGGCGATGGGTTTGTCATAAATGGCTCTGATTATTTTGAAGTATGTTCCTTCAATACCTAGTTTATTGAGAGCTTTTAACATGAAGGGATGTTGAATTTTATTGATGGTTTCTTCTGCATCTATTGAGATAATCATGTGGTTTTTGTCTTTATGTTACAAATTACATTTTGCAGGAAAAGAAAACCAAACACCTCATGTTCCCAATTCTAAGTGGGAGTTGAACAACAGGATCACATGGACACAGGGTGGGGAACAACATTCACTGGAGCTGTCAGGGAAGGGAGGGGGATGGAATGCATTAGGGAAAAGAACTAGTGCATGCTGGGCTTAATACCCAGGTGATGGGTTGGTAGGTGTAGCACCATGGCACACGTTTACCTATGTAACAAATTTGCACATTCTGCACATGTACCCCAGAACTTAAAATAAATTAAAATGCAAAAAAAATTATAGTTGCTGCATCCTCTATCACGGTAAAGCGAGATTCCCTTCTACTCGTATATTAATGAAATTTTTGTTTTTAACCTGAGACGGTGTTGAATGTTAATGGATATTTTCCCCGTGTCTTCTGACATTGTAGGACTTTGATCTTTTATTCTACTAATGTAATAAGCTACATTTATGAACTTTGTAATGTTTGGCTATCATTACATTCCTGTACATTCACTGCTAAGTCTTCTAGGATCTGATATTATTTTACACATTGCTGGTCTATGTTTGCTGATGTTTTACTTAGGACTTGAGCGTCTACATATATAAACAATATTGTCCTATAATTGTCTTTGCTTGTACTATTCTACATGTTTTTGATATCAAGATTATATTATCATCACAAAATAGGTTTAGTAGCTTTCCTTCTTGGTTTCTGGTAGGCTGAGAGTGCCAAAAATCTCAAAAGAACAACTCCAACAAGACTGAACTATATTTCTCTCTTGTATAAATGTCTAGGGATGTGGTCCAGAGTGATACAGCCCTCCACAATGTTGGACACCTATACTCTTTCTACCTGGTGGTTCTGACATGTTTGTCTTTGCCTTATAGTCCCTAATAGAGGCATTTGGTTTCCAGGAGGCAAGACAGAGGAAGGGATGAAGAAGAGAGCAAAGAATACTTGCAAGTGCTTTCTTGAAGGTTCCCAGAAGCCATCCCACAACACTGTCACTTACATCACTTCAGGATTTAGTCACAGGGCCACACTTAGTAGAAAAGAAGGCTGGAAAATGTCATCTTGAATCTGAGTAGTCATTAATATGTAATTTATAGTTAAATATAGATGGTATTCTTGTGGTCATTTCCACAAAAAGTACAGAAAATAACAGACTAGATTCTAAGACTTGTTGAGTATCTACTGCATGCTAGAGTTGAGGTAATGTTTCTAAGAAAAAATTAGATTTAACTTATAACTCCGTCAAATATTCCAGGAACATCGGTGATTGAATTTATGAGAATTCCCTGTGTTATTCGTTTATCAATGTTTAAGCCCATGATGTACATAGTCTGGGAGAGGACATTAGGGTTATGGAGAACTGTACGGGAAATAGCTCCCTGCTGGAGTGGAGAGGAGGCGTGTACCATCAGAGAATTCAATTCTATGTATTAATGGGGTGAAAGATAACCTGGATGATCCAACAAGGGTTAAACAGATGGCAGTATAGCTGATCAATTTAGACTTCAGTCAGTGAAAATGTGTCATAAGTTAGACAAAGGTATCATTAGTGGACAGACATCTGGAACCCCAAATCTCCACCTGGAAAATTTCATGACATGTTTATAATTGAGAATCCACCCTCTGAGGTGGAAGCTATTTAAAAACTGCAGACTGTAGATAAGATTCACTGTCTATAGGAGAACTTCCCAGGGATAACCCATCCTACATATTGGGTAACAGTGAAATTGTAGCATCTCATCAGAAACCCGTCAACCTAGGAAGCATTTGGTAAGAAGATAAAGTCGAATCTTTGGTTATGTTCTAAAAAGTGGCCCAAGACGGCCGGGCATGGTAACCCCAGCACATTAGGAGGCCGAGGAGGGTAGATCAACTGAAGTCAGGAGTTCAGGACCAGCCTGGCCAACATGGTGAAACTCTGTCTCTACTAAATATAGAAAAATTAGCCAGGCGTGGTTGTGTGCCTGTAATCCCAGCCACTCGGGAGGCTGAGGTGGGAGAACTCCTTGAACCTGGGAGGTGGAGGCTGCAGTGAGTCGAGATCGAGCCACTGCACTCTAGCCTAGGCAACAGAGCGAGACCCCGTCTCAAAAAATAAAAGTGGTCCAAGATGTTCTAAGGTGATAATAAAAAGGCAAATGCAAATAGAAAGGTGGTGGGTCTTATCCAGGCTTCCTGGGAGAGTTAAGAGAATGCCCTGTCTGGGGTCTCAGCAGCCTGCTATATTCTAGGACACAACCATCGTCGAATGGTCATCATTCCAGTGTATCACATTTCTCTTTCTTCAGAGAAGTCATATTGATTGAGGGATGGGCTTCTGGTTATTAACAGGCTTCTAGATGCAGTGATACTCAGGGACACTAGCATCCTCTTCTTTGTTATAGGTCTCCTAGAGGAGGAGAATAAATTGTCCTTTTGGTTTACAGGTCAGCCCGGAGCTATCTGGATGACAGCGAACTATCTCTGTGTGAACTGTTCGGGCCATGAAGGGTAGTGACAACAAATGGCTCAGTTGAAAACATCCAGCTCCATTTCAGGCCCCAGTGTCTCTCAATGGCTGTTACTGGCCATTGGGGTGGGAGCAATTCTTTGTCATGTAAGATTGTGCCACACATGCTGGACACTTAGTATCCCTGGATCCCAAGTGCTGAAGGCTGTTAATACTTCCTGGTCATTGTGACAACCCAAAAGCAGTCCCCTCCACTCTAAAACTTGTCTGCCCTTCCCTTGGCTAAATTGAGAGCCACTGACTTGACCAATGTTTAATTTGCTTATGTTGCTCTGGTTAGGGAAAGTTTTAGCCAAGGAAACTTTATGACTAGCTAGGGAGTCATATTTGTGAAAAATGAAACTGTTTCAATACCGTAGGAAGGCATGGGGCTCAGGTTCTGGGGATTGTTCTCTTTACACTAAACACTATGTATTTCACAGGGAGCCCCAAGATTGCATAGGCCAGAGAGTTCAGGGAAGTGGACTCTTTATTTTGGAAGTCCAGTGGAGAAGCCAAAGGCTCTCCCAAAGCCCAGCACAGTTTTCTGCCCCTAGTGGAGGCATCTTTTCTGACCTACCTCCCTGGAGAACCCACTCCACAGGATTTTCTCCTCGTTGATGAAGAGTCTTTCTCCCTTCTTGGCATAGACGTTGTAATACCCAACTTCCTTAAACATGATGGAGCCATCCTCTGGGGAGAGGTGCCAGTTGATGATGGAATAGTTCCCTACCAGGTCACCACACTCATCAAAGGTCACCTGCTCCCCCATATTGTTGGTAAAGTTGAGGTGCCGTAGGTGCTTCAGAACCTAAAGAGGAGCAGAGATGAATGAGTACAAGCCACACGACTGCCACATATGACCAATAAGGTAGGCTGTGCCCTGCACAAGAACAGTAAACTATCTTGCTCCAATGAAGTGTGAGGAACGTGACTTGAGGAAGAGGCAGCTTTTTCTAATTCACACCAAAGTACTTGCATGTATTAGCAGCAGCCCTGATAAGCCATGGGCTTTAATTATTATTCAATTGTAATTAGGGTAGGAAGCACCTTCTTGAAGATGGGGAAAGGAATGGGAGACATCTTACCTGGCAACTGGCCAGGTCAAAGATTCTGCAGGTGTGCCATCACCTGGTGGTGCCCCAGGAGGGATGGGATTTATAATCTGGATCCCATCCCTGGCATGTTCTGAGTGGGCTTTGGGGAAGGAGAGGAGAAATGGCTGAGAGCTCTTTTCGGCACTTTCTTTCCCTATGGTCCTGCTGCTGTCGAAGCGCTATGCTGCTAAAATTCACAGGGGGGCACAAACCCTTAGTAGGAGCACCCTTAGTAGGTGTGGAAAAAAGAGATGAAGCTGTGGGTGAAGCCCTGGCTATTATTGTTGTCAGAGCCAATGCAAATCCTTGAATGTTTATAAGGTTTTACATGTCACAAAACCTTTGCACAAAAAGTCATCATGATAATTACTAACACATATCACATTAGCATTTAAACAGTTTAGATATCAGTCACTTGACTACCATTGAGGCACAACCCTAAGTACTTTATATTCATTATCTAATCGAATCCTCATAACAAATAGTATTAAGCTGATTTTATTGCTGGAGAAACTGAGGCACAGAAAACTTAAGTATCTCGTCCCGGGTCATAAGCCTGCGTTCTTAATTGCTATACTCTACTGTAGCGTCATTGGGCTCCTGCCTCTGCTTCCTCACATGCTCCTCAGTAAGAGGGGGCAGTGGGTGCTCAGCCACTTATCTTTCATGTGGGGCCAGCCTTGTGTCACTGTGGCACCATGTGAGAGTAGGGCAGGGTCTAGCCTGTGAGTGTAGGACACAGCTTCCACTGTACCTCCTGAGTCTCCAGCACTTTGCCATTCTGAGCTATTTTTTTTGTCTGTTTTTTGTAGAGGCAGGGCCTCACGATGTTGCCCAGGCTGGTCTCGAACTCCTGGGCTCAAGTGACCCTCCTACCTCAGCCTCCCAAAGTGCTGGAATTAGAGGCATGAGCCACTGTGCCCGGCCATTTATCTTTTTTAAAAAAAATTCAGCTTTTTATTAAACACACTATATAAAAGAGGTTTAGTCAAAAAGACCAAAGTTCATGTCATCATCAGACTCCTCGGATTCTTCTTTCTTTGCTTTCACTTTCTTCTCCTCAGCTGGAGCAGTAGCAGTGGAGGGGGCAGGAACTCCTGCTGGTGCAGCAATAGCTGCTGGAGCAGGTCCATCAGCCCCTACATTGCAGATGAGGCTTCCAGCGTTGACCGTAGCCAGGGCATTTGCAAACAAGCCAGGCCGAAAAGGTTCAACATTTACACCGGCTGCTTTAATGAGGGCATTGATCTTATCCTCCGTGACAGTCACCTCATCACTGTGCAGAATGAGGGCTGAGTAGATGCAGGTGAGCTCAGAGGCCATGATGTGGGTGAGTGTGGGGCTGGCGCTGCCGGATGTCACCAGATGAAATCAGGGCCTCACCCCAACGCAGCCTTAGCTTCCTCGGAAGGACCGAGTACCTTGGCTGCAGCTGAGGAAAGGCTATCATGTTTTTAAGGTACCTAAAATCCAATATCTAATCTGACAGTGGGACAAAGTTCGGGCTGGGTCCATCTAATGGATGACGTTAGTAGGCCTCTCTGAGCCTACATTAATCTGATGTGCACGACAAACACGCAGACTGAGCCAGCACCTCTCCTGTCACATTCCACTCCAGAGATGACACTGCTTCTTAACAGTTTGTATCTGTACTGACTTTACTTTTCAATAAACTTTTATTTGTAGTAAGGAAGATTCAATATAGGAGAGGAGTCACTTGGATTTATCCATAAGCAGCTCCAAGATATGCTTGGGGGCAAAGTCCATGATAGACTATGTATGCTCACAGGCATACCACCCGGACACCTCCCCTAACCTGCAGTCTGGGACCTCCTCACTGCTCCCCTGGTAGGCCCTGGCTGCCCTGACTTTTGACCCAGGCCTATGAAGGAGAGGGACCCCTCATCCCCTGCTACCTGATTCTGCAACCAGAGCTGCTGAGCCATCCTCAAAAAAGATGGAGAATGACTCCTACTAAGGATTTGTGCCCCCTGTGTTCTCCCAAGCCTTCCCACCTTCTCTGATGATTGACAACCTTATTGTTGCCTTCATTGTTACTGAGGCCTTAAGGCAGTCAGTGGAGAGGAGGTGTTCTAGATGTGTTTCTTTAACCTCCACCTCCTCTTCTTATACCCCCTCGCTCTTGGGTGACCTGACTTCCTCCTACCCAGAGTGGTGTACATCCTTTTGTCTCTACCCCAACATACCCCTGTCCTGACAGATCCTCTGGCCCTCAGAGGGCCATGCAGTTCTTCTGCTCTTTAATACCGCCCCCACTCCTGCATTGCTCAAAACCTTTCTCCCAGCAACTTGGGAATCTTTCTGACACAGCCAATTATCCTTCACGCTGTAATCATGCCCTTCCGACTTCCTGCTGGGGACCTACCAAGACTCAGGTGAAATGTGCTTCAAACTTCTCCAGGTAGCTTCCAAAGCCCTCCATACTTTGGTTCCATGTACCTACCATGACTTGTCAGTGCAAACGTTTCATCCTAATAATATAGTTTCCACTGTCCTGTCCAAATGCCATGCTAGGCCTGTGTGTGTAACAGGAGATGAGAAGAGTGAAGAGGTAGGAAACTATCTCTTATGTGTACTTCCCATGTGCCAGGATGTTCTAATACTTAATACCCACTATGTCATTTAACCCTCACAACGCCTCTGTGGATTAGAACTATTATTATCTTCATTTTCTACATAATGAAACTGAGGCATAGAAAGGTCAAGAAACTTGCAAAAGTCATACAGCCACTAAGTGCTGGAGCTGGGGCTTAAAATGTGGCTTTTCTGTAACACCATCCTACACTTCCAATATAAATTGTTTACAGTGTCCCTGGCAAATATTTGTGAGAGGTCAGTAGTAACTTCCTCACTAAAACGCATATATAATGGTAAAGCTATAATAGCTAGCATACATTTCTTCTTCCTATTTAGGTTTCAATTCCTTAGTTCTTAACGTGCCAGGCAACAAGCTGCTTCCCTCCTCTGTCCACTAGTTCTCTGCAGTGGAACTTTCTGAGCATCAGGGTAGAAGTGGGGAGGGGAACTGAACAAGATCTTCTCATAATTAGGTGGTTATCTTTCACACTGGTCAGACAGTACAGACAAGTGACTTAAAGCTCAACCTGGCCGGGCGCAGTGGCTCACACCTGTCATCCCAGCACTTTGGGAGGCTGAGGCAGGCAGATCACGAGGTCAGGAAATTGAGACCATCCTGGCCAACGTGGTGAAATCCCGTGGCTACTAAAATACAAAAAATTAGCCAGGCATGGTGGCAGGCGCCTTAATCCCAGTTACTCAGGAGGCTGAGGCAGGGGAATCGCTTGAACCGGAGAGGCAGATGTTGGAGTGAGCTGAGATCCTGCCACTATACTTCAGCCTGGGTGACAGAGCAAGACTCCATCTCAAACAAAACAAAACAAAACAAAACAAAAAGCTCATCCCTGGCTACAAGTCTTCTACATTATTGTTGACACAGGCTGGAAATTTCCACCATAATCCTAACTTAAAAGGAGAAACAATAAAAAATTATTTTCTTAAAGTTTATAAGTATTCATTAAAAAACTCATGATAAATATAAGACTGGGTTTTTAAAAACAGAGATATAGACCAATGGAACAAAACAGAGGCACCGGAGGCAACACAACATACATACAACTATACAATCTTTGATAAACCTGACAAAAACAAGCAATGGGGCAAGGATTCCATGTTTAACAAATGGTGTTGGGAAAACTGGCTAGCCATGTGCAGAAAGCAGAAACTGGACCCCTTCCTGACACCTTACACTAAAATTAACTCCAGATGGATTAAAGACTTAAACATAAGACCTGGCACCATAAAAACCCTAGAAGGAAATCTAGGCAAAACTATCCAGGACATAGGAGTAGGCAAGGACTTCATGAACAAAACACCAAGAGCATTGGCAACAAAAGCCAAAATAGACAAATGGGACCTAATGAAACTCCACAGCTTCTGCACGGCAAAAGAAACAGTCACTAGAGTGGATCGGCAACCAACAGAATGGGAAAAAATTTTCGCAGTCTACCCATCTGACAAAGGGCTGATATCCAGAATTTACAAACAACTCAAGCAGATTTACAGGAAAAAAACAAACAAGCCCATTCAAAAGTGGGCAAAGGATATGAACAGATACTTTACGAAAGAAGACATATATGAGGCCAACAATCATGAAAAAATGCTCATCGTCACTGGTCATCAGAGAGATGCAAATCAAAACCACATTGAGATACCATCTCACGCCAGTTAGAATGGCGATCATTAAAAAATCTGGAGACAACAGATGCTGGAGAGGATGTGGAGAAAAAGGAACACTTTTACACTGTTGGTGGGAGTGTAAATTAGTTCAACCATTGTGGAAGACGGTGTGGCGATTCCTCAAGGCCTTAGAAATAGAAATTCCATTTGACCCAGCAATCCCATTACTGGGTATATATCCAAAAGACTATAAATCGTTCTACTATAAGGACACATGTACACGAATGTTCATTGCAGCACTGTTTACAATAGCAAAGACCTGGAATCAACCCAAATGCCCATTGATAATAGACTGGATTGGAAAAATGTGGCACATATACACCATGGAATATTATGCAGCAATCAGAAATGATGAGTTCGTGTCGTTTGTAGGGACATGGATGAATCTGGAAAACATCATCCTCAGCAAACTGACACAAGAACAGAAAATGAAACACCGCATATTCTCACTCATAGGTGGGTGATGAAAAATGAGAACACATGGACATAGAAAGGGGAGTACTAAACACTGGGGTCTATTGGGGGGAAAAGGGGAGGGCCAGTGGGAGGGGGAGGTGGGGAGGGATAGCCTGGGGAGAAATGCCAAATGTGGGTGAAGGGGAGAAGAAAAGCAAAGCACACTGTCATGTGTGTACCCACGCAACTGTCTTGCATGCTCTGCTCATGTACCCCAAAACCTATAATCCAATAAAAAATTAAAAAAAAAAAAAAAAAAAGACTGGGTTTTTATACTACTGGAATCAATCAACCAGAAAATACTTAGAGAATATCCACTGTCTTTTCTGAACTGGGCTGCAGAACTACAAGACACGGTCATCCCATCCTCATGGAGTTTTCATATAGAATAGGGGATAAAATACAAGACATAAATATTCAATGAAGCAGTAAACAGTGCAAGATAAAATATAGTTAACTGCTAACTTATGGGCTATCTATCGATGATAGACTGGACAGGGAACATGTGGCACATATACACCATGGAATAATATGCAGCCATCAAAAACGATGAGTTCGTGTCCTTTGTAGGGACATGGATGAACTTGGAGAACATCATTCTCAGCAAACTGACACAAGAATAGAAAATGAAATACCGCATGTTCTCACTCATAGGTGGGTGATGAACAATGAGAGCACATGGACACAGGGAGGGGAGCACTACACACTGGGGTCTATTGGGGGGAATGGGGAGGGACAGTGGGGGGTCGGGAGTTGGGGAGAGATAGCATGGGGAGAAATGCCAGATATAGATGAAGGGGAGGAAGGCAGCAAATCACACTGCCACGTGTGTACCTATGCAACTATCTTGCATGTTCTTCACATGTACCCCAAAACCTAAAATGCAATAATAAAAAAAAAAGAAATAGCAAAAAAAAAAAATGTATTCCAGGCAATGAGCTAAGTGCTTTACATTGTACAAATAAGTAAAATATAAGTTAAAAGGGAAGGGAAGATAAACAGATGTCTTTACTTATATAAAATATATACAGAAAAATATGCAAGAAATTAATTATGTAGTTGAAATATAATAATTATATATACATGATTATTATGTCAGTTAAAAATAAAGAATTTTTTAAAAAGGAAAAAACTTATGGGCTGTCATCTCTAACTACAGAGGAATTCAGAGGAGATAGAAATTAAAAAGGGCTGAAATAATCAATGCAGGCTTGAGGCATAGTAAATAAATATTTTGGCTGGCAAAGGACAGAGGGAGGAAAGGTGTTAAAATCAGTGGAGAGCATGGGCAAGGACATCACGTTAGGAATAAACATGATGTGTTATGGGGCCAGAAAAGCGATCAATTTCTCAAGAAGTGTATATGTACTAGAGAACAAAGGGAAATACAGTAGATAAGTAAAGAGCCAAGGCCAAAAAGAGGCTAGATTTCATATCAAAAAGGTATGGGATTAGATAAGAAAAAGCGTTGATAAAAATGCAGAGAACTTGGAATTCTCCATAGACTGGTGGTGGGGATGTAAACTGGTACAGCCACATTGGAAAAAAAGTCTGTCAGTTCCTTAAAAAGTTAAACATGGCCAGACACGGTGGCTCACACCTGTAATCCTAGCACTTTGGGAGGCCGAGACCGGCGGATCATGAGGGCAAGAGATGAAGACCAACCTGGCCAACATGGTGAAACCCGGTCTCTATTAAAAATAAAAAAATTAGTTGGTAGTGGTGGCACATGCCTGTAATCCCAGCTACCTGGGAAGCTGAG